AAAAAAAATTATTCGAATGAACCGAAGCCTTTGTAATCATAGTTTTCCTAAAGCAGATTGACCCCCTCATCGTAGATGCTTGAGTTTTAATTAGAGCGTCTGTTTCCCATGATACAAAGGTAAAACAAGTAGATTCTGAGCACTGCAGTTACTACTCTGGCGAATTGACTTAGTATCCGAACACTATCACCAAAATCTTAAAAGAAAATAAATTATGTATGTAGATTGGAAAATTTTTCTTTTGATGCAGAAAAGTAATTTTCTTCGTGTGTATGCAATGGAGGAAGATGGATGAATAAATAGACTGTAATAGAGAATTAACAATCACAAGTTATGTTATTAATCGTCATTAATCCGGCTGTTAATCTCTCCATTAACACAGGTATAATCACATGAGTTTCAGGAGTAAAACAAAAAAATTTGAAATGTTTTAGATAAAATAAAATAAAGGCAAAACGTAAACCCTCCTAAGGGCCAATTTTTGGTCAATCCGATCCGACATTCGTGTATGCAGGTCGTGCGCACACAAGTTCAAGGTACGAAACCTATTTCAGTCCGTGCACGCGCACATGGAGAGACCCTTTATGCTACACATGATTATACCATTCTAAAGTGCAATCACATTTAAAGTAGTCATACATTTATCTATTTTCCTATATGAGATAACTATAAACTAGTTTCCCATCAACACAAAACATTTTTCAATGCATTACTTTGAGCTCCAATTTTTCATTCACCGGAGCATCACTTTTTATAAGTAAATATATGATTTCGATGTTCTCACGGAGGAGAATACAAATCAATCTTGATCTTCCAAAATAACCAAATGGATCCCACTTAAAATTTATACCAAATTTAGCCATTGTATTCATTTTTTCCAACACATCTGTCTTTTAACATAAATATTGCCTTCTAGCTGTAGCAGAGATTCGAACCTCTGATATTCCGTTTAGAACTCTCATACTTTACCATTGCGTCATGCCCATGGGAGCTCATAGAAAGATGACAAACACACAAAAGGAAAATATAGCGTGATCGAATTCAAAACCCCTCTAACGAGCTTCGAATCAAGCATAAGCACTTGGGTTTTGGAGAAGACATGCTTCCACAACCTTGTACATGCCTAGGACTCTTTCTTTGCCTGTCTTGATATCCTCTTCTTTAAGCACAAAATCACCTTCAGTGTAATACTTTCTTGTAACGTTAGAGAAAGAGCCCCATTTGGGTGATGGCTCAAACTTGATCTCATCAGTTAATTCTTCGACTCCTTCTATCAAAGCATCTCCTTCAACCAATGTGCACTTGCACGTCATTGTCTTGTCATTAAGATCGTCAATTTGATACTTTACCCAACCAAAACCACCACCTGCATGAAAAATGGATGTCAGTAAATTCAACGAGATGATTTATTACAAGAATCACAATTGTCGGTGAAAGTGGAGACACCCAACGTCTCAATAGAATTTTCGAGAAACACTACTCGGAGAATAGTCGGAAGTTAGAATGTTACTAGGTGATTAATCTCTTTGCATAAAAGCAACTCATGAGAAAATGGTGTATGTATAGCACAAATCAAGAATTCCTTTTAGGTTGTGTTTGATACACCAAAAATTCTATGGAAAATGAAATTAGTTTTCCATTTTCCTCAATTTGTAGTGTTTGATGCCAACAATTTTCTTGGCATTTTGTTTTCCACACCACCAGCTCACGTGCCTGTTTTCCACCAATTTGTTGAATTGTTTTTCCCACCTTTTTGGTGGGAAATGAAGTTCCAGGTTTTTTTTTTTTTCGGTAATTGGAACAAATTTTATAACTAATTGTAAAAAAAAAAAAAAAAAATTTTAATAGAAAA